TCTGGCATGCAATGAAATAATGCTTTGCATAACTATGCATGCATAAAATGTGATTGAGTGTGCATAAATGTGAATATTGCTATGTTATTAATATTGACATGAATCATTGTGTTCTGTCAGATATGGTGAGGGGAGTGAGGATGTTGTGTCCTGCTTGGCTCTTGGCTCTGGCTGTTCTATGTGCGGGTGGGTCAGAAGTCAGAGCTCAGTGTTGGGAGAACACCCGCTGCAGAGACCTCACCACTGACGAGAACATCTTGGTGAGTTACAATATTCCTTGCACAAATGACTGCTTAGCTTCTAATGTTAGAACTTTCAGCTCAATTTGCAAGTTATCTCACAAATTCAAATTCAAATAAACACGTCTTATTGATTAATAGTGAGGCAAATGTCACTACTATGATTGCTAATTGCTTAGGATTAGGGATTTGAACCACAACCCAGAATGAGGACTCAATTCATTTGGCTTGCCGAGAAGAGGTGTGTTTTTACTAAGTGATCAGGTTAATGATTGTAACCAAACAGAGGATAGAAGAGGGCAAAAAATACTTTACATTAGACATTAGAGAGACTTGTATCTAAAAAGGGGGACATCATAGAATAACACAGAGACTCTTGGTTGGACTTTTTTGACTTGGGTCAGTATGTAATCACTCAAAAAACCCGAGCAACCATCTAGCAATGTCCCAGCAGCCACTAATGAAACAAAAATGTTTTTTTAACAACAAAAATCCTGTTTACCTGAAAGGTTACTGGTACATCAGCTAGTATGGAGAAAAAAGACATTTAAGTCAGTATTCATTTAACGTTTTGGTTAAGTGACCTTTGTCAATAATTTACAAGCAGAGCACAGTGTGATGTAGCATATGCAACTGTGTCCACGTTTAACATTTTTGTCATAGTTTTAGTAATTTTTCTAATTTTCTGCTGGTTTTTCTTTTCAGTTTGTTTGCATTTGATATGTTCTACGTCTTCATATTGACCATTTTATGAATAATTCCACCATTTTCCAGTTTATTTTTCAGTTATAATGCTTAGCTTGTTTTTTGGCCTTGTCATTACATGCCCGTATTTTGCTAATTTACAAGCTCGTAATGCTTTTTGGGGGACTCACATAATTTCAAAACACTTTTTTGCTGATACTGTACATTGTTGCAGCATCTTTTCACCCTCTGCCTCTAAAAAAAATAAGTTCATATCTCTTTAAAAAAAAACTAGTCTGCTCTGATTGGTCAGCTGCTTAGACCATGTGCCAGAAATGTAATGCTCTAACCATACAGTAATTGAGCTCATTCAGCTGGCAAGGCTTCATGAGGAGCTGTAACAGTATTGTAACCTGTGGCATCTGTATTGAAAGTCCATACAATCTTTTTTTGCCCTCACAGTGAGAAAAAAAAAAAACAGCATCTCCGTGAAGTAGCGAATTCACTTACCCAGCTTTTCTTTGAAGGCAGACCAAAGCAGCCAGTAGGCAGGCATTATGCAAATGTTTAACATGTTGCGGTAGTCACAGAAATAATGGCAGGGCTACAAACCAAACATTTCGTGTGTTTTCTGTTGGAGAAATGAGCTCCATTTGGTGTGGACTTTGTGTTGTGTAACTTTGCAGATCATTTACAGCTATAGAAAAGCTTAAAATAAAAAACGCAACATGATAGGTGCCCTTTAAATAGCTTCTCTGATTGGTCTTTTTGTATTTTACTTTTGCCGATGAAGACATGACTGAAAAGTTATAGTAAATAGGTTACAGTTTGGGTTTGAAAAATGGGCACACGCAACACCACAACATTTGCCTTTTCTTTAGAAAATGTAAAACTCTCTAGTTTCTTCTTTTGCTCTTCCTAAGAACTGCATACAGCTATGCAGGTCTGATCTGACAGATGAAACCCCAGTCTACCCCGGAGAAAGCCATTTGCAGCCTCCCTCTGAACTGGAGCAAACCGAGGTCCTCGCACCCCTGTCCCCTGCTGCCCTCGCACCTGCTGAGCAAATGGACCCTGAGTCCAGCACTCAGCACGAGCACAAGCGCTCTTATTCCATGGAGCATTTCCGTTGGGGAAAACCAGTGGGTCGCAAACGCCGGCCTATCAAGGTGTACACGAACGGCGTGGAGGAGGAATCTGCCGAGACTCTCCCAGCCGAGATGAGGCGCGAGCTGGCCACCAACGAGGTCAACTATCCTCAAGAGGAGAGTGTTTTAAACCAGCAGGAGAAGAAGGATGGCTCCTACAAAATGAACCATTTCCGCTGGAGCGGCCCACCTGCTGGCAAGCGCTACGGAGGCTTCATGAAGTCCTGGGACGAGCGCAGTCAGAAACCCCTTCTCACACTCTTCAAAAACGTCATAAACAAAGAGCATCAGATGAAGGACCAGTGAGGGGGTTTTAATGGGATGAGTGGGTAGGGGATTGTTTTTAATATACTTTCTTCCCAGCAAACTTATCATGCATAGTCAACAAAAAGAGGGTGGGTGGTGTTGCCAGTAGCACTTAATTCTTGACGCTTAGTTTATTCACATTGTATAACAACAATAAATTCTGAATTCTGTACATAGAAATGCTGTGGTGATTAAATACTGATGTAGAGGCTACAAAAACAGCATTTTTGGATTATTTATTGAAATGTATTATACTGTAAATTTTGAAAATGTGATATAAAATGATTGTTTCAAGCAGAAAAGAACAAAATCGTTCCTTTCTGAGAAACAAGCAGACATCAGAATCATTCAGCAGTATGTGCAGTTGCCAATAAAGCTATAAACACAGGTCAGACTTTGAATTCATAAAAGTAGTCTTTAATTGATATTCTTATTATTCACACCACATATGTACATCACTTAATGATTTCATGTAGGCAAACATTCACAGAACACAGTTCTGAAGTCTCATCCTTTACAGTGACAGTATCTAAACACATAACAGGAACGAAGTTGACTAATTGTGGTCCAGTGTTGTAATGATCTCACTTAAATGAAAAATGATAAAAGCACAGACAAAACACCCAGTGCATGCAGCAGCTGACAAGGAAAGACTAAACTCTGATATAATTCTTGACGCTTAGTTTATTCACATTGTATAACAACAATAAATTCTGAATTCTGTACATAGAAATGCTGTGGTGATTAAATACTGATGTAGAGGCTACAAAAACAGCATTTTTGGATTATTTATTGAAATGTATTATACTGTAAATTTTGAAAATGTGATATAAAATGATTGTTTCAAGCAGAAAAGAACAAAATCGTTCCTTTCTGAGAAACAAGCAGACATCAGAATCATTCAGCAGTATGTGCAGTTGCCAATAAAGCTATAAACACAGGTCAGACTTTGAATTCATAAAAGTAGTCTTTAATTGATATTCTTATTATTCACACCACATATGTACATCACTTAATGATTTCATGTAGGCAAACATTCACAGAACACAGTTCTGAAGTCTCATCCTTTACAGTGACAGTATCTAAACACATAACAGGAACGAAGTTGACTAATTGTGGTCCAGTGTTGTAATGATCTCACTTAAATGAAAAATGATAAAAGCACAGACAAAACACCCAGTGCATGCAGCAGCTGACAAGGAAAGACTAAACTCTGATATTTCATACATGCAAAATCACCTCACATGTAAGCAGTCTAGAATATTCAGTCAGATGAACATCATAGCCATATTGACAGAGAAGATAAAACCCACTTGTTTTTTATGCTTGCAAATAAATTCAAGGTATCACCAAAATATATATATAAAATAAAATACAACATGAAAAATGACTTCATGAACTAAAAAACAAACAACAAAAAGAAAGGCCATGGGCTTTTATGACAGAAAAAGTAAACATGTTTTTATGTGGAACTGGAACAATATGACATGACGACAGATATAACACACCATCACATTTTTCAGCATACACCACATTTACACAGTGAGCTTTAAAGTGCTGCATTTAAATCCAGGATAACAAAATCTTGATGTAAACTTAAAATTATTTACACATTTAAGTAAAATAAAGGACATGTTACTGTACAAGTGACAAATGAAACACACAAATTATGGCAAAAAAAGGTAGATAATCGATCCCTTTAGACCCTAAAAGTAGTGTCTGAAAAGGTGTGGTCACATTTGCAGGCAAAATGCCATTATCTCAACAGGAATCCATGTGATTGAGAATTTCCCGTGAGATGGCATGCGTTGACCAACAGAAAGCTGCTTGGTTTGAAAGTGAATATAGCAAAATACCAATAGGAATACACACAATCTGGAATTTCATGCCAGGGCAAAAGATTTTCTCAATCAGATTTCACAATGGGTTCAAGTTGGCCATGCAAATTCGCAGAAAGCTGCTTGGTTTGAAAGTGATTTCTGTGTGTACTGTGCTTTATACATTATGACACCATGGTACAGAAAATAAAATAAAATTATGCAATCAAACCAACACTAAGCAAATGAAAACCCTTCACGTATGAAACTGCATCGATAAGAGTATAATGAATAATGATACAGGTCTGACTTTACTATGTGAATGTAACACGTTCACTTTCTTACACACAGTGACATTAAGCCATCAGTTCTGACTGGAATACTGCATTGAGTTAAACTAGAAACTAAGTATTTACTGTATGTTTCCTCAGCTTCTACCCAAGAGGTTTTATTTTTTAATTTAAATAATTATTGCTTTAAATACAGCTGTTATTGCAGCATGTAGAGACGGTTTAAACATGCGATCAAAGCTTGTATTTAGTTAAACTGTCCATACCCACACACACAAAAAAAAAAAAAAAAAAAACAGTTTTTGGAAACACATCTGGGACATTTTTGGACAAATTTACTTAACTTAAGATACAAAACTTAAGGCAGCTTTACTCTTTAGTTGAACAAGAAAGCCAATCACTTGCTCTGAACAACAGACTGTACACACTTACACAGTAACCTGAACATGAAAACCTCATTCTGCTCTCTACACTATCAGACAAGATACGATCATTTGTTGATAAATTCTGTTTTTTTTTTCATCTAGACTAAGTTTTTAAGTGCATATATAACCAACATATGGTATATTCTCTTGGTTTGTTTGTCTTTGTTGGCATAAATAGACTTCAGGATAAAGTACAGCCGTAATCCTTATCTAAAGTCAGATATTACACTAGAGAACACAGTTTAGAAGAAACAGAGTTGCACCTGGACATTGAGAAGGAGTGATAATAGTGGGATGAAAACAGCTGCATGTGGTGACTAGGGCTCCTGGGTCTCTCAGTACACACAGAGGTCTGGAAACGTCATTTCATAGACTGGTATGGAGCGGCTCCGGCCGTGACCGTTTCCGACAGAGCCAGATGGACTCGGTGGAGGCCTATCCAACAGAGAGAGAGCGAAAGACAGATGGAACAAGTGTCAATTACATGAGACAGACAATACAGCCTTTTTCCACTGTAGTGATTTCCTACTCGACATTTTTATATGGCTATTACATAAAATATTTGTCCTTTATGCACAATTGAATGATTAGGAAAGCTAATTTATAAAATGTTACAGAAAACAGTTTTATATTATGTACCTGATTGTGATTTCGAAGATTTGATTGAGTTTACTCTGCAACAGGGAAGCCTAGAGAGAAACAGTACAGGTGGAGAGTTCATGCACAAAGTAAAAAGAAATGAACAGATGTAGGAACTGAACAGAAGAGCTGTGTTTGTGCTTTTTGATGATAAAATTAGAGTGTGTACGCTAGCTAGGCATTGGACTCACCCTGGCCCCACAGTGGGCTGCTATCTCCTCAAACGGGGCGGTCTGAAACCTCTCCACCACCTGCCTTCTGCGCTCTCTCTCCAGCTCCTCCACATTCACGCTGTCTACTGAACAAACACACACACACAAACAAAAACAGGTGATTCTGTGCTAAGTGACATAGACCAGCCTAGAATATGTTTTCAGTTTAAGTTCAATTTATGGATATTGCTACTAACAACATTTTTTTTTTGGTACCATGTCTTCTCCAGTCATTTGTGGTTACTGAATAAGGATTATTTAAAATCATATTTTACAGAGATCATTAATCAAAGTGACAGTTCTGCACCAATACTATAACTACACTATAAAAGTCAATATAAAAGAACGACTTAAAAATGACAGTAACGTAAGTCTGGGGTTGATAAGATTTTTTAAAATGTTTTAAAATGATGTTTTAAACAGTAAATACAGTAATATTGTGAAATAATATTACAATTTAAAATAAATGCTTTCTATTTTAATATATTTAATTGCTTTTACTTTAAAATTGTATTCTGTATTTTCAGCTGCCATTACTCAAGCCTTCAATGTCAGTATTCTTTTGTGCATATATAGTATAGAATATATTATATTATATACACATATATATATATATATATATATATATATATACACACACACACACACGCACATATACATATATATATATATATATATGTAAAAGTGTAACTTTTGATCAATTTAATGCATCCTTGCTGAACTTTTGAACGGTAGTGAATATACAATGTTCATGCAAGTAAACTCTCAAATCATGCAAGACTTACCAATGGCTTGCTTAAGAGTTTCAAATGTTATCTGCTCTGCTGTGGATCTCTGTGAAGACACCGAACATAGGTTAAAAAAAATACAGCTGATAGTAGATACAATTCTAAGAGGTGGACACACACGTACAGACGCTCAGCAGTGTAATGAAGACGAGGATGTTTTACCTGCTCTTTCTCTGGACTGTTTCTAGACTCCATCTCTAACTGCAGAGAGACCGTGTCTCCAATACTCTTCCTCTTGGACAGTCGGTCTTCATCTGCGTTAGTTACAAAAATAATATTTTCGTAACGTACTGTGTTATGGAGAATTCCAGAAAAAAACTCAGCTGTACTATAACATTTAAATGTGAAATGCCCTCACTGTATGTGTCTAATGACACATAACTGTATTTCAAAAATACGACAGGACATCCAGTTTCAATGTATTTAAACCTCAGGCTGAGGGTCAGACCTGTGATCTGTGGGATGTATGAAGTGGCCAGTCTCTCTGTGTTGTATCCGCTGCCGCCCAGCATCTCTGCTATCTTAGTCTGCACAAACAGCACCTCTCCCTCCACCTTCTCCAGCTTCTCTGGGATCCTGAAAGAGAAAGAGGCTAAAGATATTCTTCAGCTTTATATGGGTACACTTTTCCGAGGTAGTAGAAACCAGACAGATAAGAGAATGCTTGTTTTGTGGGTTAATTCCCTTCGGGTACACTTTTCCGAGGTAGTAGAAACCAGACAGATAAGAGAACTCTGAATGTTTTGTGGGTTTAATGCCTTACATAACCATTTGCTCAGCACATCACAGCTGAAAATGTCCCAAGGATGATCTTATAGTGAAACAGAAAGACATTGAGCTGAGTAGAAACTGTACAGTATGTTCTCTACCCAGTACATACGTTTGTAAGAACTGAGACAGAACTAGGCATTTCTGTTGGTTTATTAGTGTGAACCACGGCAGAAAAGCAGTGTCTCTCATAATGGTGAGAAAAACATTATGGTAGTTTGAACAGTCTATGTAAGTGTTGCTTACTTTGAGCTCTCAACAAGAACATCCTCTGGCAGCAGGAAAGGGACGAGTTTCTTTCTTGACTCAATCACCTGTGGGAAAAAACAGACAGACAGATAGATAGATCTATAGATACAGTAGATAGATTCACAGACAGACAGATAAATGGATCGATGGAAGGACGGACGGACAGACAGACAGACGGGCAGGCAGACAGACAGATAGGTCTCACCTCATGGACGTGTTGGCAGAAGGTAGGCACAGTGGTCAGCTGACAGATGAGGTTCAGGTACACAGCTGACAGAGCGTGGATGGCACAGCGGGTATATACAGGAAGAGCCTCTTCAGTCAAGGCCAGGTCCTGAGGAAGAGGACGCATCAGGGGAAATGAAAAAAGGCTGAGAACTATTGTTATTGTACTCTTATTGTACTGACACTTTTATGACTTATAGTTGAATATTATACAGTGAGTACTTGAGCATAATGTAAAGAGATGCCGACGTAAAGGTCGACTTGTGTTAGGTTTGAAAATGTTTATTAATGAACATATATCATTATGCTGACCCTATGTGTCCACTGGCATATTTATTCAGCCCCACAGCCATGTACATATCACAGAGGTGAGAGAAATGACCTGTAATGCCAAAGCCAGTCGGATCAGGTCCACCACCACCTCCTCATTGGCCAGCTCCACACAGATCAACCCCAGCAGCGTATAAAGAGACTCAAAATGCCGCTGGACGTTGCTCTCCTCTTTGCAGGCTAGGTAAATGTGGCGGTATAGCCTCTGGCTGTGTTTCTTCATGAACAGGTTATCCTGCCTTGAGCACTTGTCTACTTTCAGCTTCAGTACGGAGATATCTGAGATAATTCTGTTGAAAACGATAGCAAAATGCACTGTAGAATCTTTTGTCAGGTAACTCTCAGGGACCTACTGTAGCAAAACATACTGTAGCAAAACACTTTGTGCAATTAAATAATATCAATTTTTAAAACATATATAAGAGCAATTCATACAGTGAAATGTATGATAGCAAGAAATACATTTTTTAACCAATAACTAACCAAAAGCTATTGTAAGCATGATATTACAATATGTGACCCTGGAGCACAAAACCAGTCTTAAGTCGCTGGGGTAGCCTATATTTGTAGCAATAGCCAAAAATACATTGTATGGGTCAAAATAATAGATTTTTCTTTTATGCCAAAAATCATTAGGATATTAGGTAAAGATGATGTTCCATGAAGATATTTTGTACATTTCCTACCGTAAATATATCAAAACTTCATTTTTGATTAGTAATATGCATTGCTAAGAACTTCATTTGCACAACTTTAAAGGCGATTTTCTCAATATTTTGATTTTTTTTGCACCCTCAGATTCCAGATTTTCAAATAGTTGTATCTCGGCCAAATATTGTCCTATACTAACAAACCATACATCAATGGAAAGCTTATTTATTCAGCTTTCTGATGATGTATAAATCTCAATATCGAACAATTGACACTTAAGACTGTTTTTGTGGTTCCAGGGTCACATATATTAACACAGACCATTTTTAAGGGTCATTTGGCCACATTTTAATCAGTATTTCATGCATTACAATACAGAGGTAAATGTAAAATGTTTTGTCAGGTACACTGTAAAATTAGTTTTTTTGAAGATTATTAATACTATTTCAGGTTTCAAAATTACGTTACTTTGCATTTCTTTGTAATTGTGAAATTTACTATACTATATATATAATATAATATATATATTATGACTAAATTAACCCACCAAAACATTATAACACAAAAAAAGTATATTGTGTTTTGTAAATTTTTTTTTTTTTTTTTTTTTTTTTTTTTTAAATATAAAAATTTTGTAAGGGTCAAAATAAGTCATTAAGTATTTAGTTATTTAATTGGTCATGCAAGGTTACATATCCTTAGGCTTTATCTTAAAGATATGCAAAAGAAAACTTCAAATAATTTTGAGAGGCACTAAAACAACAAAATGTTCATTCTATATTTCATAGCATTAATCATTTATTAAGAAGTAAATTCTAGATTGCTAGATTTTTCTTGAGTTTGTCAGTGCACCTGACCTGACAGGGGAGAATTTGTTCCGGTTGTCATGGCGATCAATGATGCTGATGAGGATGTCAAGAACGAGTAGACGGATCTCTGCGTCTTCCATCAGAGTGAAGGACAAGAGAGGGTCCAGGAATGAGGTGGGAAGTGCTGTCAAAATGTTTGTAGACTGGAATCCTGCTGTTACCTAAAGGAGAAACAGAGAGACTGACATTTAAAGGCACACAAGACCATCAGAGGGTTTAGACTGCATCAGCAACTGTGGATATCATGAAACAGCAGGGGGAGTAAATGGCCTCCGCATGGCACAGCGGGAGATTATGACTGACACAAACCAGCTCACCTGCAGCAGAGACTTTAGCAGCAGAACCTGGATCATCCTACTGCCCTCAACCCTGAAACCAGAAACAGACACTTATTGACAAAATACAATATTCTTGCTATATATTTTATATTATATATAATATATAATATTTATCTTATTAAACGCTTCCTACGTTAGCGTTTATGCTATTCCTCAGCTAATTTGCATTTCTTCTTGGGCCAGCAGAAAATACATCGTAAACATGTCTAATTGATAAAGTCTAGGTTGTAACCCTGTCTCACCCAGTGTTGGCCGAGCCCAGAGCCGGATACATGCCTGGCACAGGAATTTTACCGATGATGAATAACATGACTTCTGAGCGCTGGTAGGGGGGCAGTGTGTTTGCAAATGAGCCTGAAAACAAAGAAAGACAGAGGGATCATGCACAGCTGATAAATCTATCTATCTAATTAAAAGACTTAAATACTGAGATAAAACTGTTATAATTTGAGGAATGAAAATGTGGGCTGATATGAAACTGAGCACAGCTATGTAGGAAATCAGTTGCCTGAGACAAGCCAATTATACAGTTTAGCCACGGTCATTTGTGACCCTGGACCACAAAACCAGTCTTAAGTCGCTGGGGTATTTTTGTAGCAATAGCCAAAAATACATTTTATGGGTCAAAATTATTGATTTTTCTTTTATGCCAAAAATCATTAGGATATTAAGTAAAGATCATGTTCCATGAAGATATTTTGTAAATTTCCTACTGTAAATATATTAAAACTTAATTTTTGATTAGTAATATGCATTGCTAAGAACTTCATTTGGACAATTTTAAAGGCGATTTTCTCAATATTTAGATTTTTTTACACCCTCAGATTCCAGATTTTCAAATAGTTGCATCTCGGTCAAATATTGTCCTATCCTAACAAACCATACATCAATGGAAAGCTTATTTATTCAGCTTTCATATGATCTGAACTGACCCTTATGACTGGTTTTGTGGTCCAGGGTCACATTTTACAAAAATATTTGTTTTACTCACAAACATTCAATGTTCACCCACCGACAGTTTTGATGACGGCTTCTTGGAGTTGTCTCTCCTCGTGTACTTTAATGACCTTGGAGCCCATGTTTGCAAAAGAGTCGTAGGATCCTGTAAGCTCGTAGTCCACACTGAGTCTGAGCTGCTTCAGTAGAGTATTAAACACTTCCAGTACTGTGGGCCCTGTGCAGAGGTATGGCACAGAGCCAACACTAAATTAAGGAACACTGTCGATGCGGATGACTTCTACTGTATAAAATTTGTCAAACATATAAACACTGATACATATGAAATAAGCAGTGTGTATATCACTTTTCTTCCGAAAGAAAAAGATAATAAAATAACAAAAATGGACAAGTATTGTCAGACAGAAATCATTTAAAGTGCTTGTCTAATGAGATGGTTTTAGTGCTCCCTCTAGTGGTCTAAAGACGTTCTGGTACCTATGGATCCACTGGCCTCTATGACAGCTGCCTCTGAGATCACCTCCACTATCCCAGCACGCACTCGGGATGAATTCTTACTGTTGGCATCCAAGTGGCCCAATAGCTGCTGAATCACCAGATGTGAATGTTGGGACTGAGAAGGAACAGACGAGTTAATATTACAGTAACACAGATGAACGAATATCAAATTATTTTTTCATTCAATTTTTTATGTTAAAAAAATAAATGTTATAATGTAAAGTCAATAAGAAATGTTACTGCATTTATGAGATTTTTAACTCCAATTGTTGAGCTGATAAGATAATTTGTAGAAAATATGTATCAAATTTGAATAATGCAAATATAGAAATAGTTTCACTACTGTTCTGAGACTTTCAAAGCTAAGATATTTTAAAGATGTTTAAATATGTCCCCAAACACATAATTATTTAGTAGCAATAGGACCTCAAAAGTGTGTCTTGCATTGTATTTTGTGTCAGATACTTTTACAAACAAATTTCAGAACAGTTGTTTGTATCTACCTGAATGGAGTACATAATGATTTTGAAACAGCGGACTGCAAATGTTTTGCTCTCCCAAAGTGAATGGTTATCGAGGTGCCTGGAAATATACAAGTGAATTAATGATTAGCTTGAGCAAACAGAACTAGAGCAGTAATGAGCAGACAAAGTGGGTCAAAAAATACACTAGCGTAACAGATACTACAGTTACTTTTACTGTGTAGATTGTTTAAGGCTAACAATGAGGACAACTTGTTTCATTTTTTTTTCTTCATTCCCTTTCCAATGCTGTATTTCTATACTGCCCCTTATGAAAACTAAATATACTAAAATGTATTTGAAATACATTTATTTCATGCTAAGTATACTACAAATACATTTACATATTTATGTACTTAATAAAAATACTCTGCAATTGTACTTTTAGTACACTAAACTGGTATACTTAAAGTCTGCTTAATTGGAACAAGTTATTTTGTTCTTAATAAACTTTTTGTGCGGAAGTAGTGCTGAGGTCCAGCTAAAGATACACTGAAGTATATTTGATTGTGCTAAAGTGGAACTATTGCAAGTATACTTTAAATACACCTTAAATATCTTGCATTTAAAGACCGATATTATTCAAAGATCATACAAGATCAGTAAGTCTCGAGCGATATGTCAGCAAATATGTTAATAGATTTAAACTCACACAGGGTCATGTAGTTTTGGATTTTGTTTTCCCTTAATAATAAAAACCTTCATTTAAAAACTGCATGTTGTGTTCACTTGTGTTATCTTTTACTAATATTTCAATTTGTTTGATGATCTGAAACATTAAAGTGTGACAAACATGCAAAAAAATAAGAAATCAGGAAGGGGGCCAACACTTTTTCACACCACTGTATACTTTTTTAGTATTTTAAATATATTATATAACTTTTTTACTGGGGGCATCATTAGTGTGAATAAAAAAAAAAACTGTCTAACTGACATTCTAGGATCATATTAATTAATTTATATGGATAAATGGAAACCTCTGCTGACAAAAAAATTATATTAATCAAACATTTAATCAATTATTAATAATTCATCCAAGCAGCATGTCGTTATTCCTTCCGTTTACACCCTGCACAAACATTTGGAGTTGGTAAGATAAAAACAGTAATATAGTGATATATTATTACAATTTAAAATCGTTTTCATTTCTTTAAAAAAAATCCTACTGACTTTTGAATGGTAGTGTATGTGCATTGTTTTGAATTATAATTAGTAGTCCAGTAACGCCTGCATGATCATTAAAATAACCACAATCCCAAATTCATATTGCCATTTAATGTAAAACATATGCCCTTTATTCATTAAAATAAACAATTAAATAAACAATGACATTAAAAAAACAACAATCGTTAATTAATTGCCAAAATATACTTGTCTCAAATGAATGCTAAAATATTTGTATAAAATGAACTGAAAATAAAATAAAAGTGTCTCTGTGTGCTGCCCTCTTGTGTTTAATCAGGGTAGTGCATAAACACTCACATGAGCACGGGTTTCACAGCATTCTTGATGTTGCCGTAGGCCGCTCGTCCTAGCAGCTCTCGAAAGCATCTCTCTGTCAGCTCCACTGGACTCTCCTTCTCTGCCTCTGGGGAAGGAGACCTATCAATAGGAATCAAAAACAGAAGACAAACATAAACCAGGGCTGAATCAATAGGCCGATTGTTGTTGGCAGTATTGTTACTTGTGGTCAGCTATTTCCACAGAGGTGAAGATGTGAAGTTTTACGGTTCTGATTTCATCGCATAGTTCAATTCAGATTTAGTGGCCTGCTTCTGACCCTCGGGCTTTGGGTTTATTAGGTTTACAGCAGTAAAGCAGCTTCTACTTCTAGCTTCTAACAGTCTACTGTTATATCACAGTTTTCATTAGCATTCGATTAGGAGTTCATTAGCTTAAAGGCAGGGTATGTGATTTTTCAAAAACACTTTAGAAAACTGATTTGGGCCGAATCGCAAAACAAATTTGTAGCCAATCAGCAATAAGGGGCGTGTCTACTTGTGATGTGGAGGAGAGAGCTTTCAGTGCATGGGACGGACATTAGCCGAGCCGAGCGACAGAAAGATAGAGATGGCGGATAAAAAACAAAAGAGGAAAACGTCTGCGGAAGGATAAGGCAAGAAGTAGGACCCGTGTAAATATCGGATCAGCTTTCCAGCGCTGGAGAGAACTCAAGGAGCGGAGGCCTGCGATCGGACGCCGAGGTTGCTTTGTTTCTTCTCAATAGGTGAGTGACACCGTGTCTACAACAGCTAAAGTCTGCTTACACTGGACGCGATCAAACGACCGTTGAAAACCATTTGAAATTTGTGTCAGCACGTCATAAATAGAACCTGGCAGCAGTTTTCTGTCGGGGATTTGTTGTGCCGCGCCGCTCACGTCCGTAGACATGGTGTAACATTGGTTTTGCTTTGTTTCACAGAACTAATCGTTGCCTGGGTTGCGTACGTATATGTGGGGCGGAGCTATCAAAATAGGGGCAAGACCCTTTTGGGGTAGGGGTGTGTTTGTTTTGGTGATTTCAAATATCAACATTGGCTACCAGAAATCACTTACTCTGCCTTTAATCACACAGACTGGCTAATAGCTATTAGCAAGATGCTGTTTCTCTGAAAGAAAATTCACACTTTCATTAGACTAAAAGTGTCCTTTTCTCTTCATGTGTGATTGTGTGTGCGAGCATGTAAGTGTGTTTCAGACCTCTCTACACCTTCTTCCTGTTGGAGGTTGAACAATAGAGATGGCACGATTTTGTCCATGTGTTGAGGGTCCCAAATATTTGCCTGCAGTTCATCATTGACAGTTTTCCTCACCACCCCCTGAAGACCCCTGATCCCTGCCATACGAATCCTTACACACACACATACACACAACCCAAACAGACTTCAGTCACATTTATGAGATGTGGATTTATATATATGGCTATTTTTATTAATGTGCACTGCATGGTGCAATTCACCCCCTGATGCATGAATTAATAAATCACAAAGGAAAAAATGTTTCCTTTTATATCAAAAGCAGATTTCATTTCTAATCCTGTTCTACTCAATCCCTTAGCAGAAAATATTAAATTGTATCAGTATGTGGCAAAATCTCACACACACACACACACACTCTCTTGTGCAGGGGCGTGCACATACTCGTGCATTTGCTTTTTGAATATCCCTATTGCTCTATATATACAAAGCCTTAATGTTCACAGTAAATCATATAATTATGAATAATACTGTTTAATTAATTGCATATTAATTTAACATTCTTATTATTCATAATATAATTTCATATTTGTATTATTATAATATTATAATACATTTAATTTCAAGTCTAAGAAATTATAATTCACAAAGGATATTACTCTTGTAAAAAAAATTATATTCTACAAGTTCTTGGTGCTTTATCACTTTTGACAGAAATGTTGCACATATGTTGTCTTAAAAACACAATGACATTTCAAGAGGACAGTCATAAAGTGCACTTACAAATATAAATTTTTTTTTTGTTTGTTTTTGAATTGCATATATAATTTCCATCCATTTAGATAAGATGCATGCATAAGATTAACACTTTAGTATAGGGACAAATTATCACTATTAACTAGTTGCTTATTAGCATGCATATTACCAGCATATTGGCTGTTAATTAGTACTTATAAAGCACATATTCTGTGTGACCATAAATCCTTAATCCTACACAATACCTAAACCTAACAACCACCTTACTAACTATTAATAAGCAGTAAATAGGAGTTTATTGAGGCAAAAGTCGTAGTTAATAATGAGAACTGGACGTTAAAATAAAGTGTGACTGATTATACTTACTAGTTTATGTTAAAAGTGTATAATCCAGAAAAAACTAGATTTTCAACATTCATAATTTTGGGTGTCAAAATCATTTGAAAAAAAATGGAAAGAGGTGCTCACTTTGTGCGAATATCTGGATCCTCGTAACTGGAATGGCACATCTCACTGAAGCGTGAGACAAAGAAATCGTAGCTACGATGGTATGATGGTGTGTCCTCCTCTATGTTCGCAAACTTCACAAACTTAAAGAGAAAGAGCAGAAAAATATAGAAAGACTGGTCACATATTTTTACTGCTAATGAGTTTGAGGTATGGTTAGTTAAGAGTTGGGTTACGGTTAGGTGTAATGTTGACAGTGTAACTACAAATGTTAATTAAATGCATGTACTTTCAATGTAATTACAATGCACCAACATATTTTTTGTCTCGCATGGTTTTTGCCACAACATGTTTTGTGTGGTTAATTACTGGCTGCCAAGAACATGAAACTATCAAAATTCAAGGGGCATTTAGAAGCCAAACAACCAATATTGCAGAAGATTGATTACGCAAATGAGCATATTGATGGGCCTATGCAGTTCAATGTTTCAAGACATTTTTTGTCAATTTTGATACTGTGTTGAGTCAGCGCTTGATGTCCAGTGTAGTCCTGAAGCAAAAGCTGTTGAGGACCACTGCTGTAAGGTATGTTAATCTGTACTTATGTGGTTAATGTACATTACAGTACAACAGATTAGGATCTTCCTGATTAGGATATCTGAAGATTTGAGATTAGTAGTGGTTATCCAGTGTGCTACTACTGACCACACCAACACAAAACCTACAGAGTACCTTCTTCACGCTGTTAAACTAAGATGAAGACACTACATAACCCATCAATTCTGTAAACATGCACACAGCTTTCAACATTTATGGGCAACACGCTTTAAGCCCTGCCCCATCTGGCCTCTATCTGTGAAAGTAATCTCTTTTTAATCTTTAAACCCTTATATTTCAGAAGCATCAGATGTGAGCGGTTTTGAACTTGAGAACTCTATATATTCCAATAAGCAATTGAGTTGGGCTGGTGCTAAGCTTTCAGGGACCATGTTGAAGTTTCACATTACTGTACAGAAGATAAATTCATCTTTGTTTTGAAAGCTTGTCATGTAAAATGAAATAACATTAGCTGGAATGGGATTATACTGAATGAAGAGGGCCTGTATATTTCAGGTAAATGGGAAGGTCTGACATGAAGTAATGGAATAAGTGCAATATTTAAATACAGAACTAATAAAATAAAGTACATATAATAAGTTCAAACACAATAAATGTATAGAAAAATATTTAGATGTAAAAATTAGATTTAAGTTTATTTTGGTCTAATTTATCATCTAATTTAATTTATTTTATTTTAAATAGAAATCTTTTGTAACATCACTTTTGTGTAATTTAATGCACCCGTGCCGATGATACTTTTTATTTTAAGACTAGAGAAGACTAAAAATTCAGCTTTGTCATCACAGGAATAAATTACATTTTAAAATATACTGAAATTAAAAAAAATAGTTCTTTTAAATTGTAATAATATTTCACAATATTACTATTTTTACTGTATTAATTCTTAATCTTTAACTGAACTTAACTAGATTGAAATCACCAGTATATTTAGGAGATGTAGCACTATGGGGATTCGATTGGCAAGGAGGGCTTTATATTGAATATAGTTTGGATGAGCTTGATTGAGGTGAAGCCAAAACGTTACAGCTTTGCACTCTTTGTAATCAAGTGCATTGAGCTTTTGAAACTTCTTAATTCTGGTCTGTTCCTCCAAGATCACTGCAAGACTGACACCTGAACCCGTGGTGTTGTTGCAGCAGCCACATTTCCCTCCGTACTGCAGAGACGCCCGACTCAAGCTAGATTTATCAAGTCATCATTTTCACATGGCATTCTAAATCTGGAACTACATCAATAGGGTCTGTAAATGAATTTCACTAGAGAGTAAAGGCAGTAAATTTCACTCACTGAGTTAGTGCCCAGGATCTGTAAATTGGGTTTGTCTGCCTCCAGCAGCTTGCGCACCATAGTAAGGAAACTCTCCACAAAAAGGTTTATAGTCTGACAGTGACAGGCCATCAGTAGCTGGTCCAAAGCCTCCATAGCAATACAAACATACCTGTGAGACGCAAACATGATACTGCCCAGTGATGATCACAGATTATTATAGCAGGCATATATCACAGAGCCGGACAGAAACAATCACTGCACTTTCTTCCAATTTTTGTTTTTACCCATATCTATGCCGGGCAACGTCTCTGGATAGTCTCTCTGACAGGTAGGCACCGATACGGTCTAGTTTCTCCGGAGCAGACAAGGCATAAAACGTAAGCTTCTCCATGTTAGCTTTCACCAAACCGTCCTTTACACAAAAAGACAAGACGGCAGACAGACAGAGAGCAAGAGAACATTGAAAAGAGGCCTATTAGAGAAGGACATAAAAAGAAAAATGAACCATGAAATGTAATTTTAAACTTTCCTCTACCCAAAAAGAATCTTCCATAGATGATTTATCTTCTATACAGAGTCTAATGCAGATCCTAATACAGTTTCTTAAGCTCATTATTCAGAAGAGAGACAGACTCAAATACTTTCCAGTTTCGAGCTTTAACCTTACATGGTGAAATACGAGACGAGGGGTTCTTTCTAAAATTAAATAATAGGCTTGTATTTGTAAACTGGACAAATATTTACCGTAATTCATACTTTGCACTAAATTATCAGTGCATTTTTTATTTTACTCTTTTAATTTATCATTATAGTATTATATTCATGTATAACCCCAATTTTAATTTGTATTAATTTTTTTCTGACCAAAATATTAGACAAACACTTTCAGTGCAACTCAAACGTATATCACTTTTCTAATAAATATCATTCCAAAACTATAAAAAGAAAAGAGTTAAAATAGTGACATATATACATATATTTTTTCAAAGTTAAATTAAGTAAGTTCAAGTCATTAAAGTAAATAAAGATTATTGGAGTACATTTTTTTAAATTTCATGATTAATTCAATGTGTTACTTGTCACTTCTTTGAAATTATTTGTTAAATGTACTAGCAAATTCTGAGTGAAAATTGTTTCAAAATAAATCCTACATCAAACTTTTTTTTTTCAGAGTACTGAGCAAGCTAAAGATTAAAAAAATGTGTTGCAAGAAATTATCCCCCCCCAAAAAACACTTTTTTATTTCTTAAACAAGAAATGTCTTTATTTCTTTATTTCTCTCATATTTTCCAAAGCCAAGTATGAAAATCCCTGAAACAGACATCTAGTCTGTAAAAACAGCTGAATGCAATCAGGTGAGCATGCAGCAGATCTGCTACGCCACAGTGGTTCTAAAACTAATGAATGTCACCATTGAAAGCCTATGTTTACATCACTGCATTGATCACTGATGACTGATAACCACTAGAAGCCTAGTGAAGCATCCCTTTCTCTGGCTCAGCGGCTTTTATTTCATCTGACCTTACCTCAGGGTCTTCAGGAAAGATGTTATCCACCAGCCTCTTATAACGGGGTCTCAGGGCCCCACAGCATCCACAAACACCTGAAACAATGGGAGGAAGTTTAATTAGACCGGCAGTAATACAAAAGAAGACCCTAACACAATAACTGAGCACACAAGGACAGAAATAATATACGTGAAGGAAAAGGAGGTTTGGAAGGTTATCTCTCCAGACCCCTTTGTTTACCTCATCTCCGGTGTGTAGGGCAGTATTGATCAAGAGTCTTTGTAATTATACTCAATGTGAGGTTTATTTATTGCATCGCCACATTAAATAAATTAGACCGGTGTGCTGTAATCTAGTAAGTGAGGCCAGTCGATTCAGGGGAAAGGCATTAATCTGTATTTAGGAAACGTCTGCAGCTTGGTGTGCCGGTTAAATGGATTTGAAAAGAATCTGTTGAAAGCATTTAGAATTGTTTTGGTTTTACACCGGCAATTGAAAGCCCATAAAAAGCTTATACAGACATATAAAGGGACACATTGTAAATCACAGGAAAAAGTGGTAAAAAGGATAATTCATCTATTGTCCTCAATTTGTTGCAAATGATTTCAGGAGAATAACAATATTTTTTTTTTTAAATAAGTTTGAATATGTTAACATTAGTTACTTTGAATTAGGTAATACTGAACTGAATACTGAATGAACTATCGATGAACATCAGTTTTTCAGCATTTATTTGTATTATTGGTATTATTTATATACTATTAAAGTATTTATTATTTTGGTATTTAGTTTAATATTTAGATATTTATTTTGTTTATTTTGGTATTTAATTTAGTATTTATTATCTTGAAGTAGCTTTTATTTTTACATTTTCAGTTTACATTTAAATCTTAGTTGAAATTTTAGTAATTTTGTTTTTTGTTTATGTTTTTGTCATTTTTTATCTATTTTTATCTCTATTTCTTTTTAGCTTTAAATTATTTTTAAGTTTTAGTTTTATTCATTTTAGCACTGCAACTTAAACTTATTTCATTTAATTGCAAAGGCAACATTTTTCATCTACTATTAAAATTTTATTTCAGCTTAATTTCAATGCCCGAAAATGATTTTAATAGATTTTGTTTTAGTTAACAATAGCAACACTGAGGTTAATGTTCATAACCTTATTGTAAACTGTAGCAGTGTGGCAATACTATACTCCATCCATCCATTTTAAACATCTTTTT